AGTTAGGACGCAGCTGGACGATCTGAACTTCGCAGATGACCTGGCTCTTCTATCGCACACGCAACAACAAATGCAAGAGAAGACAACCAGTGTAGCAGCAGCCTCTGCAACAGTAGGTCTCAACATACATAAAGGAAAAAGCAAAATTCTCCGATGCAACACAACATGCACCAACCAAATCACTCTTGATGAAGATGCCTTCGAAGACGTAAACACCTTTACATATCTCCGCAGCATCATCGACGAGAAAGGTGGATCCGATGCAGATGTGAGGGCGAGGATTGGCAAAGCAAGGGCTGCATTTCTTCAATTGAAAAATATCTGAAACTCCAAACAAATATCAATCTACACCAAAATTAGGATTTCCAATACAAATGTCAAGACAGTTCTACTGTATGTAGCGGAAACATGGAGAACTACGAAAGCCATCATCCAGAAGATAAAAGTATTCCTTAACAGTTGTCTACGCAAAATACTGAGGATTCGTTGGCCAGACACCATCAGCAACAACTTACTGTGGAAGAGAACAAACCAGATTACAGTGGAGGAGGAAGTTAGGAAGAAGCAATGGAAGTGGATAGGACACACACTACGTAAAGCACCTAACTGCATCACGAGACAAGCCCTCACTTGAAACCCTCAAGGAAAAAGTAAAAGAGGAAGACCAAGGAACATATTACGCCGAGAAACAGAGATAGACATGAGAAGAATGAACAAAAGTTGGACTGAATTGGAAAGGAAAGCCCAGGACAGAGTTGGTTGGAGAAAACTGGTGGGCGGCCTATGCTCTATCGGGGGTAACAGGCGTAAGTAAGTAAGTAAGTAAGTAAGTAAGTAAGTTGTAACAAAAATATATTCCAAGAACAAAGATCTTATTACATATAGTTAGGCTGATAAAACCGCATTTTTATCTTATCAAGTTAGTAATTGTTAGTAATAGTATAAACATGTAAAAACTTTTGAAAAAAAGAAAAAGAAAATTATGCAACTAGACGACAACAGATAACACGGGTAAATGTGTTTTTTTTTTTTTTAATAAGTACGGTAAAGTTAAAAGCACTTAGATTTTTGCAATTCAAATGACATAAAGCAAAAATTTTTTAATGTGAATTGTGTTAGACAAGGGAATTTCAATGATTTCAATGAGATTAGATAAATCTTTTTTTAGTTATTAATTTGTAACTTTAGTCATATCACCCTTAGAATCGTTCTGATATCGTGGAAATATAAATTCTTACAACAATAAGTCTTTTGTGACTGGATTAAAAAGAAAACATATCAGATTATTTAGTTGGGTGTAGTAATTAATTCAACTACGACATGGTCAATGTGTTATTTTATAAATTTATCCTATGAGTAGCAGGAGTTATGGATGTGCACTGCTGATGAGTTCCATACCAGGACGAAACGGTCGTCTTTCAGTGATTCCAGGTTTTTTGATGATTCATTCATGATTTCAATGTACATCATACCAACACTGGTAAATTTTCTAACATTAATCAAACAAGCAATGATTAGTTTGCCAGAAATAACACATTTCAAACTCTAACAAAAATGAATTCAAAATGTTGAATATTTTTTCTACTTGTCTGATTAATATTCTCAATTAGAGTTATGGAGAATAGTGTTTTTTTACACATTTGAAATCATCAATCAATCAGTGTTAGACCACACCATTAGAAACCTGGAAGCACTGAAAGACGGTCGTTTCGTCCTGGTATGAGACTCATCAGTGGCAGTGCGCATTCATGACTCCTGCACCTCGCAGTTATTCGAACCGGGACTTTCGATCTTGTGCGCCAACGTCTAACTCTGATTGATCTAGGGAATTTACGTGACCTCACCCATTTGTCTTTGGTAGTAACTGCCTACACCCGACAGGGTTGAACTCCTCCACTGGTCACGTCTTCTCTCACTAGAACTCCGAGGATTTCCTCACGAGGCTACTAGTCACCAGTGAGCTGATGAGTCCCAAACCAAGACGAAACGGCCATCTTTCAGTGCTTCCAAGTTTCTAATGGCCATCTAACAATGAGTGATCCATTCATGATTTCAAAATGTGTAGTCAATATTTTATTGTGTCTTAACGCTTTTCTTATTATGATCATTACTATTATTCTTTTGAGAAAAATTTCTATTTTCATGAGAGAAAAAATATTTGTCATATGAACTACTTAGACCTAATTATGTTATTATCACCTGTCTTCTTTTTAATATATCGACAATAACAATTCGAAAATTACAATCAAACTTGACATCATATACATAGTTCATTCCAATAGAGTGGCAGCTTAAAAAACAGAAAAGTAATAACTTTACAAAATAAAATTAGAAAAAAAAACTTCTATTAACCTTTTTTTTTCTCAAAAATTATATGCTTGTCTTTTTTTGAAAGAAAAAAAATTTATTTTTAATCAGCCACTTCACACTAACGATTGGCCTCAAATACTCCTCACACACTTGTAAACTAAATTTTAATATCAATACTGAATTACCCGCATTATTGGGTGATCACGTGTTGAATATGTTCAAAACTATAATAATAATAATAATAAACTCTTGATAACCTAAACATCATTTTTCATATTGACTTAGTTTTTATTACTGTGAAGTTTAACGGTCACTGGTTCCTTAAGTGAACGAGAAAAATAATCGATTCAGTGTAGATGTATTGCATAATTATTAGTCTAGTGATGTGCAACAAAGTTAAAAATGGTTGTACAATTGTTGATAAATCATTTCAAGACTAGCTATGGATCAATGATTGGTCACTACTAATGTTCAGCCAGTGTAAGATAGATATATTATTTATGACTGTGAATGATGGTTTTCAAATGTTTACAGTTTATAAGATATGAACTGTTGATTGACTTTTAAAAGTTGTTTAATTAAAAATCAATCGGTTAAGTATACCATAAACGATGAGGTGTTTTTATTTGAAAATATAAACAAGACTTATAAAAACATTTATGTATGATATATTTAAATACCCTGTAGAATAAATTTTTCTTGGTTGGGACATGTGTTATGTATGTCCACTCACCGATTGCCTTGATGAGCGATATTTTGTGATGTAGGGGTAGGCTAGAAGAAAGCTAGAGGCGGTCAAACCAAAACATGGCACAAATCCATGAAGTCACTGACCACTGGACTGATTCATGTGAGTAGGTATAGACTACCTGGTTGGGGTACGCGAGACGGTAGTAACCGATGGTTAGAGACCTTGAATGACATGACTTCAAATCGTTTTCAATGGCGCAGGTGCATCCATTCTTTGTCTTAGGGAAAAAAATCCCATTCCTGATAATAAATTTTGTCTTTATGAAAAAACTGTCTTATGAGTTACTTGATCTAATGATGTTATTATCATCACTGCTTCACTGTTCCTAGGATAGTATTATTCATCAAGGAGCTGGATGACAGTACATGGTGTGTTTTCGATATATTCTCTATCCCTTGTATTTGGTGTCCAAGTTATAATACCACTGAATTAGATATTTGAATAGCATACATTACACACAAAGACTAGAACATGTTAAACCAGTTTTAAGCAATTCAAAACCAAAAATAAAGAATCCGAATGTAAGCAATGAACAAATCATCCAAGCGATCACTCACTTCATGGATCCAGAGTAGAAATCAATACAATAAAAACGAAATCACGTGTTTAATTAGTCAGTAGGCCATGTGCCTGTTTATCCACGCTCTATGACCAATCACATTTCACTTTCATCATTATTTTACACATCAATCAACAATAAAATAAGCATATCAATCAAGTAGAATATGTTTTTTTTTATAAATTTTTATCAGCTATAGGAAGCTAACGTGGAATCTATTGCACTTAATATGTACTGGATAAACTGTGGTGCGAGCTACTTATAAGTAGTATATGACGTGAGTGTCAACGTAATGTCTGGCAGCAGAAGATGGGGGAAGATCAAGAAAGTAAGAGTTAGAAAACAATGGAATTTGTATGAAACGCATGAATATTGAAATGTCAGACAATGGATTGATGATGAATTGAAGATTTGCAAATTAACGATTTACGATATGGTTTTCCTATTTTACTGAGTAACTCTGTAATTTTCGTTAAATACAATCTGGTTGCCCTCACCTGTGTTCTCGTTCACTACAAAACAACAATATTTCAAAAAAATAACAGTAAACGATTACAAAAAATCTTATCGGAATCATAAATTGATTAATGTTAGACCATCATTAGAAGGGCGATTTCGTCTTAATACCGGACTCATTGTGAATGAGCACTACCGATGAATAACTATACTAGGATGAAACGGTCGTTCAGTGCTTCTAGGTTACTAATTGGTAGTCTAACATTGACCGATTCATGATTTCAATGAAATTCAACAATCTCCATAATCCTATTGTGGTGCGCGCTACTTATAAGTAGTATATGAAGCGAGTGAAAACGTAATGTCTGGCAGCAGAAGATGGGGGAAGATCAAGAAAAGAAGAGCGGAAACACAATGGAATTTATATGAAATAGCATGAACAGTGAAATTTCAAACAATGGATTGATGTTTTGCAACAGGAACAGTCCAGCTCGATATGATGGGTTAACATTTTGCAAATTAACGATTTACGATATGGTTTTCCTATTTTACCAATTAACTCTGTAATTTTCGATAAATTCAATTCGGTTGCCCCACCTGTGTTCTCCTTCACAACCCTATAGTGAGAACTTGTTTGAAATGAGAATATGAGAAAGTGATCAGTTTTTTACAAAACTGTCAAACGAATTCATCGAAAAATGAATAATTTATTTTAAACACTTACTAAGAGACAAATTAGAGGGCTAATTTAAGTATTCAAATCCTGGTTAAAAATAAAATTCCTATTAGTCAACAATGATAAGAATTCCAAAGTCGTCGTAAAATGATTCCTTCAGAACATTGTCAAAAATATTAACTTGTTCATGGGATTCAAACATACTACTTAAAATTTTATGTCCGATTGTGAGTAGACCAAAATAACCATCAAATACCACCTTTTAATCGTTGGTCCTTCTGACATGAATAGCTCAGTAATTTACAATCCTAAAAGGAATTAATAAGGTATTTTACCAATGCTAACCATCATAATATAAAAGTTATTACTGATGATCAGAAGATACAAGTGTTGATGAACAGTTGTCTACGCAAAATACTACGGATTCGTTGGCCAGACATCATCAACAACAACCTACTGTGGGAGAGAACAAACCAGATTCCTTCAGTGGAGGAGGAAATCAGGAAGAAGTGGTGGAAGTGGTGGATAAGACACACACTACGAAAAGCATCGAACTGCGTCACGAGACAAGCCCTCACATGGAACCCTCAAGGCAAAAGAAAAAGAGAAAGGCCAAGGAACACATTACACCGAGAAATAGAGAAAGATATGAAAGGAATGAACAAACATTGGACAAAACTGGAAAGGGAAGCCCAGATGGTGTGCGGCCTATGCTCCATTGGGAGGGTAACAGGAGTAAGTAAGTAAGTAAGTATTACTGATGATAATCACACACACAACAACAACAACCAGAAAAGACAAAAAGAAAATACTCACATTTCTATTAATCATCCAGTCAGATTGATTTTTTAAAAATGTTCTTTTTTCATTCGAAAATATTTCTTTGTTTCTGATTATAGCATTAGTAGTTAAATTTTTACAATTCTCCTGTTCAGAATTGATCAATTTTGTTTGAACTGTGGGATTGAATAAAACACACAAAAAAGGATCTTTTTTTTGAATTGATTTTTTAGTAAGGAATAAAACATTAATTTTCAATTCAAGTTACAGAGATAAGTGTTTTGACACATTTGAAATCACTAATCAATCAATTATTGTTAGACAACCATTAGAAACCTGGAAGAACTGAAAGACGGCCGATTCGTCCTGGTATGCGACTCAACAACAGTGGCAGTGCGCATCCACGACTCCTGCACCTCACAGGATTCGAACCCTGGACCTTTAGTATTGTGCGCGAACGCCTAACCATTGGACCACTGAGCCGGCATCCAATGGTGTTAATGTCTAACTCGGATTGATCTAGGGATTTTGTGCGACCTCACCCATTTGTCTTTGGTAGTTATTGCCTACAGCCGACAGGGTTGAACTCCTTTAGTCACGTCTTCTCACTAGAACCCTGAGAACTTTCACACGAAGCGAGTCACTAGTGAGCACATTTTACGATATTTTCAATCAGAGTTATGTAGGTTAATGTTTTTACACATTTGAAATCATCAATCAATCATTGTTAGACCAATATTAGAAACCTGGAACCACTGAAAGACGGCCGTTTCGTCTTGATATAGGACTGAGCACGACTTATTCATGACCACGCTCGCAGAGCTCGAACCTGGGACCTCCGATCTTGCGAGCAAACGCTTAACCACTAGACCGGCATCCAACGGTGTTAATATTTAACTTTGATGAATCTATTCTATTGTGCACTTTCATCCATTGTCTTCGAGGGATAAATGTCCTAAATCCGACAGGGTTGAAAATGAAAATTGAAACATGGTCTGAATGAATTTTAAACAAATGGGATCATGAGTTTCTTTACTTGTTGCCAACTTGGAAAATATTATTTCAAAAGTCAATATATTCTGGACAATATTTGAACTGTAGGTCAGTGCATTCCTATTCCATCAAAGTGACAATTTATTATGAAGTTGATAATCCAGAGTTCAAAAACTTGTCATCAAAACCAAGTAATAAAGAGACACTAGTGAATTTAAACATATTCATTTTGAATTAAGAAAAAAGTTCAAAATGACATGGAAAATTATTAACAACATGAATGGATTAAAAAGGTAGTGATCCCATTGTGGTGCTCGCTACTTATAAGTAGTATATGACGCGAGTGAAAACATAATGTCTGGCAGCACAAGATGCGGGGGAAGATCAAGAAAGGAAGAGTGTGGGGAACACAATGGAATTTGTATGAAACGCATGAATAGTGAAATGTCAGACAATGGATTAATGATTGATTGAAGATTTGCAAATTAACGGTTACGATATGGTTTTCCTATTTTCGGTTGCCCTCACCTGTGTTCTCCTACACTAGACCATATCGTGTAAAATATCTTAAATCATTACAATTTAAGAGTATTCTTACACAACTAACACAACTCTAAATTCTAAACTAGTAGAAAAAAAAATCAAAAACTCCCTACAAAAGTGTTCGGGATGTTAGATCCCCAGAACTCGCTTGATAAATATCTTTATTTCATGGACCGATCAGTTGACCTTGAGATCACATTTCCCACCAGGAAAATCCTTGGATGTGATTGGTTACTGTGTCATTTTAGTGTGCTATTTTTGTGACTGTCACAAGGACGTCTCTGTAGAGTGCTTGGATTCATTGTGTGCTGGCTGGGTGTTTGTAGAATAAAATTTCGACACTATATTAAGACTTCTTGCTGATTCAATTCGGTCAAGGGATCATAATAGCCTACCTGGACGCTGGTTCGACTAAGGTGAACTCGTAATAGTTTAAGCATACCTAGAGACGAGCGTAACAGAAAGGAGGAATAACAAAACTGTGTTTATGAGATCAAATGTAATGACTGTTATGCAATGTATATGAGTGAAACATCATTACAGTTGAATGAGAGAGTGAAAGAACACGACGTTTTGCTTAATGTACATTCTTAAATCCTTAGAAAACTTTAGAAAACTAGATAACAAGTCTGTAATAGTATGATGTTTAGTAGAATCTGGTCGTAGAGTCAATCTTCCTAAAAGATTTTGATTCATAGAAAGAAAGACTAACAGATGAAGCTCCTCTACACGTAAGTGTAGAGGACTAAAAACTGATTAGTATACTTGATCTCTAAGTTTAGTTTTGTCTATTCTTTCACAAAGACAAAGAACATTGATATTCATGCATTAAATATATACCTTATAATGTAAATGCATATTACGGGGTTGTAGAGATTGTTCAAAGTTCATTCAAATTATGAATCGATCACTGTTAGACCATTATTAGAAACCTGGACGTACTGGACAGTGGCTTCTTTCTAGTACCAAACTCAATAATCCCTAAAACCCTATACTACAAATCATAAAATGTGCTCACTAGTGGCTAGCTTCTTGAGTTCTAGTGAGAAGCCGTGACTGGTGTAATTCAACCTTATTGAGTGTTGTGAAGCAGTTACTCGTCAAAGACAATGGACGATGGTTGTGTAATATCATTGATTGGTCAAAGTTAGACATTAAGACTATTGGATGTCTACTCAATGATCTCCAGGTTAAGCGTTCACGCACAAGACTGGAAGCAGTGAGTTCGATTTTTGCACACAGGGTTCGTGGATTTGCACTACTGATGAATCAATCTCATACTAGAACCAAACGGCCATCCAATACTTCCAAGTTTCTAATACAGGTCCACCACCGATCGGTTCATGATTTCAAAATAAGCGTATATCATAAAATTGAAACTGATTGAATAACGCTTATGAATAGAGGTGAGTGAGAGTTAGTCAATGTTTGTTCATATTATTTTCAATAGTTACACGTAAAAATGAATGTATGTCAAGAATATTTCGAATGTTTGTTGAACACTAGGTCCCATGATTTGAAGTTAAGAAGTAATTGTCTTTACAATCTGTGATTTCAGTGCTTACAAATAAATTGTTCAACTTGATCACCTGAAAGATATGAATCTTAGCAAAACTTATTAGTAGATAGAATTTTAAAATGAATTATATGTCATTTTTCACCAGTGTTTATCATGTTACTCAATTGCAGTGAACATGATAACCCTCAGATTCAAGGTAATGCATACAGAAACTATGACACAATAGTCACTTACTTACTTACTTACGCCTGTTACCCCCCCCCCAATGGAGCATAGGCCGCCAACCAGTTTTCTCCAACCTACTCTGTCCTGTGCTTCCCTCTCCAGTTCTGTCCAATGCTTGTTTATTCTTCTCATATCTTTCTCTATTTCTCGGCGTAGTGTGTGCCTTGGCCTTCCTACTTTCCTTTTACCTTGAGGGTTTCAAGTGAGGGCTTCTCTTTTGACGCAGTTAGGTGCTTTTCGTAATGTGTGTCCTATCCACTTCCACCACTTCTTCCTGATTTCCTTTTCCACTGAAATCTGGTTTGTTCTCTCCCACAGTATGTTGTTGCTGATGGTGTCTGCCCAACAAATCCTCAGTATTTTGCTTAGACAACTGTTAATAAACACTTGTATTTTCTGGATGATGACTTTCGTAGTTCTCCATGTTTCCACTCCATACAGTAGAACTGTCTTGACATTTGTATTGAAAATCCTAATTTTGGTGTTGATTGATATTTGTTTGGAGTTCCAGATATTTTTCAACTGTAGAAATACAGCCCTCGCTTTGCCGATCCACACCCTCACATCTGCATCCGATCCACCTTTCTCGTCGATGATGCTGCCCAGATATGTAAAGGTGTTAACATCCTCCAAGGCATCTGCATCTAGAGTGATTTGGTTGGTGCATGTTGTGTTGCATCGGAGAATTTTGCTTTTTCCTTTATGTATGTTGAGACCTACTACTGCAGAGGCTGCTGCTACACTGGTCGTCTTCTCTTGCATTTGTTGTTGCGTATGCGATATAGAACACACACAATAGTTACTTATTTGTATATCGATTGGATTTAGAAATACCAACTTATTTTTGACTTATTTATAGAATATTTATATTTTACTGATACGGCTAATTGCTTCTTTTTGAAAATTTAGATTCTATATTCTTAAACATGTCATTAATACCATGAAATGATATGTTTTAATTCACTAACATGAACTATTACGTTAAAACTTTGTGAAGAATTCAAATCATAAGATGGCGGGAACTGGACAATGCTAAACAACTGTTCAATACTCAAATGGTTTTGTAGAACCATTGGGCATACAAATTTGATCAGTGGAAAGTTTTTAGTCTCTCAGATGCTGAAAATTCATTCACTGAGTATTTCAAAGATTTCTTCATGTAATTCAATTTGTAAGTCATCCATTCTATTGATTGATTTGTTCAAAATCATGAATTACTGAATCGCATTAGGTATTTAAGAAAATCGTTAATAATTTTAAATGAAAAGTGAAGATATGTAGCTTTTTGATTTCAACCTAGAATTCTGTTAGTCAATTTACTATACATTTTTGAAACCATGAATAGATCAATGTTAGACCACCATTAGAAACCTGGAAGCACTGGATGGTCGTTTCGTCCTGGTATGGGACTCACCAGCAGTGCGCATCCACGAATCCTGCAACCCGCAGGATTCGAACCCAAGACCTTCGGTATTGTGCGCGAACGCCTAACGTCTGGATCATTGAACCGGTATCTAACGGTGTTAATCTAAGTTAACAATCTTCACAACCCCCTAACTTATTCTTGAATATACAATTAATTGGTGGATTATGAAACCGGCGAGATTTTTTGGAGTTAATAATCTTGAACTACAGAATGAATGCTATAACTTTATTGCAATGAAGAACTTATCAATGTTAGGCCACTATTGAATACCTGAGAGTAATGGAAGACCATTTCGTCCTACTATGGGATTGTTCAGCAGAGCACATCATACACGTGGAACTCGAACCTAGAGCCTTCAACCTCTCTATTGACTAGCTCCGCGAATGAGCAAGAAACCGCCGTGACCAGTAGAGTTTAAACGAAGACAATGGGTAATGGTTGCAAGATATCGTGGATTCATTGAAGTTCGACATTAACACCGTCAAATGCCGGCTCAGTGGTCTAAAGATTAACCGCACGAGACCGAATATTTTCAATGGTGGTCAGATATTGACTGGTTCATGATTTCAATGAAACGCAATATTCTCCATGGAGCTCTGTTACGCTCGTCACTAAGTATGCTTGAGGCTATTACCAGTTTACCTTAGTCGATAAACGCGAACCAGACTTTTACCAGCGTCCAGGTAGGCTACCTTGAATCCCAAAATAGAGTGAAAAGACTTTGTAAGCGTAGAAAGTATATTCTACAAACACCCAGCAAACACAGTACAATCAAGCATACAACTCTCGTTTATTTATACATCATAGAAACGTCCTTGGAACAGTCACAAAAATAGCACACTAAAATACACAGCCGCCAATCACAGCCATGGATCTTCCCGGTGGGAATTGAAATCTCAAGGTCAACTGATCAGCCCATGCTCGCGCAAACGTGAAATCCAAAATAAGGCATTTATCAAGCGAATTTTGGGGATCTAACATCCCTAACAAGCTCATACTGACCGTAATTTTTTTAGTCTTAAAACTGATTAGCTGGCTTTTAGTCAAGATCAATTTCAAAACTAGAAAATCTCACATTGTTAACACCTTATTAACTCAATACTTATTACATTTAAAATCGAAAAAATACAGTCAGTAAAACAAATAATTTATGTGCCACTCTTTAAATCTAAAAAAACTTATTCTCTTAATCAACTCAACAAAAAGTGAATTACCTTTAGTTTTCAACTTATGATATTCATCACGATACATTCTAGCTTTATTTTCAGCATGTTTTAATGCACACAACAAGATACGATTTTCAGCTTTTGAACGTGTTGTCAATTTGTGTATATCTTGATTACGTTGTCTAGCTATTATGGTACGTTTATTACGTTCAAATTCAACTTCCATTTTTAAACGTTCTAATATTTCTTTAACACTTGTCATAGAAAATGAACCAATATTTGCGTCGTACATTGTGGATTTCGGTGTTAATTGTGTTGTATCATTTGGTTGTGGATTTAGAAGAAATGGTGCTGAATGTATGGAAAATGTTGGTGAATTACTATTATGATTATTATGATTATGATTACTATGATTGTTATTATTATTAGTAGTAGTACATGGAGAATTTGGCGTTTTTTTGAAATCCGTTAATTTGTCAATATTGTTATCATGATGTGTTTTTTGTTGTGTTGAACGAATTGATGCAGAATCGGATCTTTTCATTTTCTTTTTCAAATAAAGTAGACAAAAAAAATTTAAACAAATAGATTTGTTTTTGTGTTTTTTTAGTAAATTTAAAAATGCACAGAATCAACACTCCTCAATCATGTAAATGTTATTGAACATTGAACATGTCCAATTATTATTTGAATATGTGGAAATTTAAATATAATTTCGACAAAAAACAAAGCATTAAGGCGTTCAGTCGTTTTTTTCTGTTCAAATGATCATTCAACAGTGTTTTGATTAATCAATCAGAAGAATTTAAAAAAATATATATATAGTCGAGTTGATTGATGAATAAACTTTTTATCTGTTCAATGATTGGTTAGAAATAATGTAAATGTTAACTTGTCAATAGAAAAAAGGTAATACACACTTATTCAAAATATATATATATATAATTTAACTTATGAACTTATATTTATTTTTTCTGGTTAGCGTTTTTTATTTTCTGAGTGAGTTGATTTTCTGAGGGATAGAGTAGCTAAGTCGATGCCTAACCCTCCTCCTTTGTACTTGCAGTAACTCCAGAAGGACTTCAGGTGGAGTTTATAGACTTAATACCTATAATTGCTTACTTTATTGATTGGGATGAATGTTTGATAATCAAGTGTCTAATTTATCAATAAATCAACGGGAAAGGAGAATTTAGGACGGAGTTGTGTTGAAGAATTCTGGTCGTCGACCTATCCTCCACGAGGGGTAACAGGTGTAGGTAAGTAAGTAAGTAAGTAAGTAAGTAAGTAAGTGCATAAGTAAGTAAGTAAGTAAGTAAGTGCATAAGTAAGTAAGTAAGTAAGTAAGTGCATAAGTAAGTAAGTAAGTAAGTAAGTGCATAAGTAAGTAAGTAAGTGCATAAGTAAGTAAGTAAGTGCATAAGTAAGTAAGTAAGTAAGTAAGTAAGTAAGTAAGTAAGTAAGTAAGTGCATAAGTAAGTAAGTAAGTAAGTAAGTAAGTAAGTAAGTAAGTAAGTGCATAAGTAAGTAAGTAAGTAAGTAAGTGCATAAGTAAGTAAGTAAGTAAGTAAGTGCATAAGTAAGTAAGTAAGTAAGTAAGTGCATAAGTAAGTAAGTAAGTAAGTAAGTAAGTGCATAAGTAAGTAAGTAAGTAAGTAAGTGCATAAGTAAGTGCATAAGTAAGTAAGTAAGTGCATAAGTAAGTAAGTAAGTAAGTAAGTAAGTAAGTGCATAAGTAAGTAAGTAAGTGCATAAGTAAGTAAGTAAGTAAGTAAGTGCATAAGTAAGTAAGTAAGTAAGTAAGTAAGTAAGTAAGTAAGTAAGTAAGTAAGTAAGTAAGTAAGTAAGTAAGTAAGTAAGTAAGTGCATAAGTAAGTAAGTAAGTAAGTAAGTGCATAAGTAAGTAAGTAAGTAAGTAAGTAGGAACAAGCTTTAACTGTAACGATATAAACATCATTTCATTCATGGGATTTCTATTGACTTGCTAATCAAAGTAAATTCATTTTTTAACTAACTAATAAATAGTGGTAAACATATCAGATTTTGTTATTTTTGTTATTTTCTTAATGATTTAACTCCTGCGGTAAAATTCTAAATTACTGTGTGTACATTTGAAACTTTGATAAGTTCAGTTCTCATAGCTTATATCATTCCTGTGACATGCATGAATGGTTGAACTTTGATTCACAAAATATATATGATACTGTTTTCTGTATTTGATGAAAAATAATTTTAGAAACACACTAAATTTATTACTGAAATCACAAATCATTCATTGTTTAATCACCATTAGAAACCTAGAAGCACTAGATGGCAGTTTCGTCCTGGTATGGGACTCATCATTAGTGCACATCTACAACTCCTGCTACTCATAGGATGTGAACCTACAGCTTTCGGTCTTGGCCTTAATATCTAGTTCTGATCAATTTATGGATTTTGCGTGACCCTAACCATTTGACTTCAATACTTACTGCCTACACCCAACAGGGTTGAACTCCACTGGTCACGTCTTCTCCATAGAACTCCGAGAATTTCTTCACGAAGTTAGTCACTAGTAAGCATATTGTATGATTTTTTTCGTTATAGAGTCATTATTATATATCTTCATGTATAGTGTTAATATGATTGATTGGCTGGTAAGTTTACAAATATTTTTATCCGCGGTTTTATCACATTTATTGATCAAATTGTTGTGTTTTTTTTTCTTCAAAATAATCATAACTGTTTTTATTTGAATTATGATTTATTATATTGTTAATTCAAACAAACAACATGCACCAACCAAATCACTCTTGATGGAGATGCCTTGGAGGACGTTAACACCTTTACATATCTTGGCAGCATCATCGACAATCAAGGTGGATCCGATGCAGATGTGAGGGCGCGGATTGGCAAAGCAAGGGCTGCGTTTCTACAGTTGAAAAATATCTGCAACTCCAAACAACTTTCAACCAAAACCCAAATTAGGATTTTCAATACAAATGTCAAGACGGTTCTACTGTATGGAGCCCCGACCGAAGCTGCAACCCGACCGAAGCTGCTACCTTGACGTGGTGGTCGGGCTTGTCTATCGTGATGACCCAACCGAGCTATACTGGCTGGAACATATGTTCCTGCAGGTCCTACCATGCCAGGCAGGTCGATTGGAGAACGATGAGACTAAAAGCAGCTACCCAAGGTCTGAGGGCGAAGTCGTACTGCTGACTGCAGAGGGGTGTGACAGCAGTAAGGTGTTTCCCTCGGACAACCAGCATCTGCAGCGATGCTGCCTTCTCACAAGGAAGGAAGGGTTAGAAAAGGTCGGCCCTAAAAATGTCACACTCCCCCTAACTCACGGATTTCCGTCTCCTTGGGTAAGGGTGCCCGTTAAGGGCCTTTAAGAACGGAGCTAATCCTCAAAAAACGTTTCATAAAAAGGCCGTGCGTGACCGGCCTCAAGCAGTTGTCCCTTGGGCTCTGCGGTCACGCACCAACATTAATCTATCTTCCTTTTCAGGTCCCTCAAGAAACAACCTTCCACGGTGTGGGCAGCCGGGAAGTGACAACCGCCCTCATACCCGTACCAGCACGCGAGACCAAATTGGTCAAAATCAAATCCTTCCTACACCCCCTCATGTCTCTCTTATCTCTACGACTAACTGTACTCACACTCCCTTTTCTCACTGCACCGCTAATGCAGACGAAGTGAGATCACGAAAGGTCGTTCCTGGTCTCTTGAAACCCCGTTCTAGACTACATATTGGAGCTTTTAATGTACGGACATTGTGTCAAATAGGGCAACAGGCATCATTAGCTAGGACTTTAGAAACTCGTGCCATCGATGTATGCTGCGTCTCGGAAACGCGCATACAGGATCCTAGTAAAGTCATTAACCTGATTCCACCTTATCAAAACGAAGAAGCAGCTCGATTTACTCTTCGGGTATCCGGTAGCCCTGATGCTGCTTCCAGGGGTCTTGCTGGCGTAGGCATAGCGTTGAGTCCTAGGGCAGAATTATCTCTCCTAGACTGGATCCCAGTAGATAGTCGTTTGTGCGCTGTCCGACTAAACGGGACAGTAAGGACTCGTAAGGATAGGGACACTCGCCGTTGCCTCTTCGTCATATCTGCCTATGCCCCCACTGACTGCAGTGCAGACGAGGTTAAAGATGAGTTTTACAGAAAGCTTTCAGACCTCCTCCAAAAAGCTAAGCGCTCTGACATAGTAATAATGGCTGGTGACTTTAATGCTCAAGTAGGTAGACTAGGTGAAAAGGAAAGACATCTTGGTGGATGTTATGGTGTAGCGACTGAGAGAACAGACAATGGCGACCGTCTGTTGCAACTATGCTCAGATAACCGCCTATTCTTAGCGAACACCAACTTTAGGCATAAGGAAAAGCATCTGTTGACCTGGCGACCTCCAAAGTCGTCTCAACGTTGGACTCAACTAGATCACATCGCCATCAGCCACCGATGGAGGGGTTCGATAGAGGACTGTCGCTCGTTCTGGAGCACATGTTTGGATTCAGATCATGCTCTAGTGCGAGCTCGTATCTGTTTAAGGCTTACTGGACGTAGGAAAGACACCGTAAGAAAGCCTCTCAGGGTTTTACTTAATGATAATCAAACCAAGAAAATATTTCAGGAGCAACTAGAAAGAGAGTTAAGCAACCATGCAAGCGATTCCCATCCAGAAGCAGGTTGGTATGATATCAAAAAGGCTGTGGAAACAGCAGTGATATCTGCTAGGAAGGTAAACCATGAGGCTAGGGTGAAGCCGTGGATTTCAGTCGCATCCACCGAACTGATGGATGCTCGAAAACGCATCCCACCTGACTCTGAGCATGATGAAGAGCGTAGTCAGCTTAGGCGCAGACTTATAAAAAGTCTGCGTAACGACCGCGAACAGTGGTGGGTGGCGAAAGCAAAAGCGATGGAAAAGGCAGCGGCGATAGGCAACACTAGACAGCTTTTCCGCCTTATCAAAGAAACCGGTATTAAGAACCCGAATGTGAGTGAGACTATCTCGGAAAAGGATGGTCTTATTATCCATTCCCAATCCAGGAGACTGGATCGATGGGCAGAACACTTTAGGGATCAGTTCAACTGGCCACGAGCCACTCTTCGGTTACCCACGATCTCCAGTCATCCTGAATGGCAAATCGACGTAAATCCCCCTAGTCTTAATGACGTTGAGAAAGCGTTAGGAAATCTGAAACGAGGACGAGCTGCAGGTCCTGATAGACTGACCCCTGAGATATTTAAGGATGGTGGTCCAGTTTTAGCAGCTAGGTTGACTGAGATCTTAGGTAGAATCTGGGAACTGGACGTAATCCCATCCGACTGGTCTCAATCCTTGATTGTCCCAATCTATAAGAAAGGACAGAAGTCTTCTTGTGACAATCACAGGGGAATAAGTCTAACTAATATAGTATCTAAAATATTGGCCTCAATAATACTTCGACGCTTAACGAAAGCTCGTGAAGAGCAGACTCGAGAAAACCAGGCTGGTTTTCGACCTGGACGTGGCTGTATAGACCACATTTTCACACTACGACAGGTC